AATGACTAGCTATTTAGGCTCTATTAAGTTGGCTTTGAGGGAATTTTTCAATAAGTACTCTCCGATTAAACTTTTGAAAGCCTCCCAAGGCCAAGAGCAGTGGCTCACACCTGTGATCCCAACAGTTCCGGGCACCAAGGTTGAAAGGGTTGTTTGAGGCCAGGAGTTCAAGACCAGCCTGGGCAATAGGAGGACTGCTGGGGGCCAGGAGTTCGAGGCTGCAGTGAGTTATGATCACACCACTTTACTCCAGCCTGGGTGACAGAGCAAGACTCTGTCTCTAAAAACATTTTTTGAGAATACAAATGTTTCCCCAAGTATTTATGTGTGTGTGTATTTGTATGTAGACATATCTCTGCTTGTTTTGCCTGTGTGCGTGTAAACTCCAGAGCGACCGGGTGCACCACACTGTGTCTGGAGCAGGGGCTCCAGCACACGGACACACTCTGGCTGTCCCTTGTCTGCGGGGACACCCAGCAGGGCACGGGGCTCCAGGTGAAAGGGCCATTTCTTTTCTGGTGTTAGGAAGAAGTTGAGCTCCTGTTTCAGAAGAAAGGATAGATAGTTGGTTGGCTCTGTTGGGGTGAATAGGTGCCCCAAGTGTATGGGACCAGGTAATATTGGGTGGTCTTCCATTCAAGTCCTCTCTGGTTACTGCCCGCTAAGATTCTAAGAACAGGAGATATGGGGCTTTTGCATGGCCATTCATTTCTCATCCCAACCTTGTGACCCAAAGGTGGATAGAAAACTTGCATGCCTCCTGGCCAAGGTCAGATGCCTGGCGTATGGCCTTGGGGCTCCTCGTGGCTCCTGGGCTTGTACATGTGCAGTTCCACATCTGCCACATTGGAGGCAGCTCGTCTCCCAGGGTGGGCATAGTTTGGCTGCTGGCATCCTCTATCCACTCGGGCTGATGGTGTCCAGAGTCTGCCTTGGAGCTGTTTAGTTTTTTGCTTTTCTTATTCCTGCCACCTACTTTGGAGGCCAGAGGGTTGTCAAACCAGACTCCTTTTTACCGTGCGTCTCATCCTTATTGAAGAGGTCCTAGGAACCAAGCTCTCCAGATGTTTTTAAACCAGGTGTTCGTCAGCCTGTGTGTGGGTTTCTCCATGTGGTACTGGGAATGGCCAGAGCAGGCTCACTCAGGACACAGCAGCCTTTAGCATCTGGGCCCATTTTCCTGGCCCCCAAGAAGCCCCAATGGCCCCCAGTGCAGTATTACTGTGTCCTGGATGTCTTTCCATTTGGGCACCAGTTTCTGCCACCCAGTCACAGTGCCCCATCCTATGCAGAGGTCTCAGGACTGGCCTTCCTGCCTCCCTGGAAAGCCTCTCCTCCCGTCTGCAGCGAGACACCATTGTCTGCACCACACAGGTGTCCAATCAGCAACGCCTCTCCTGATGGACAGGTTCAGGATAGGTAGAGAGTTTTCCTTCCTGAGGGTGTCGGTACTTTGGTTGGTTCTGGCTAAAGTGGCTGCCCTGGTTTTTGCCATCAGGGTGTGACTACATGGAACTTGCAGGGAAAGACTCCACTGGCCTTTCATTCTTTCTCAGTTACTGAGGGCCTCAGTCATTCGATCTCCAAGAACTGGATTCTGTCAACAGCAAGCTTGAAAAAGGACTCTGAGCTTTAGCTGAGATTGCCGCCCCAGCTGGCAACTTGATTTCAGCCTGGTGAGATCCTGAGCAGAGAACTCAGATGAGCTGTACCCGGATTAGTGGCTCACAGAACTATGAGAAAATAAATGCTGTTTGTTCGTGCTGCGAAGTGTGTGGGATTTGTCAAGCAGCAATGAGTAACAAGTACATGGGGCATGACTTTTAAGGGCGCTTGAAGAGTCTGGCATAGGAGGGTCGTGGCAGCACTGGTGGAGCTTGCTCCTCCTGCTTAGGGCCCTGTACCTTGTAAGATGCAAATGCAGCCCTGGCTCCACCCCAATCCTCCTCAGAGTTCCAGAACCTTCTCTCTAATTGGCCACTGGACAGCTCCCTTCCCTGTAGTCTGAGGTCTGGTTGCCCAGAAGCAGGGCCTGAGGTGAGGGTATGTGTGGTGCTCCCGGTAGGAAGTGCTCCCGGGAGGCCAGGCAGGAAGTGAGGGACAGTGGACAGGGAGGCCAGCAAGGCTCGGGAGCCCCACAGGGAGGTCCCCGGGTCTGGGTCTGCTCTGGGAGGTGGGTGCTGCACCTATCTCCGTGGACTCTGCAGGCACCGAGCTGGGCAGTGAGGATGGAGACTCCAGGCACTGCCTGGGCTTCCGCACGTCAAGGACGTTCCTCGGAGGAAAGTGGCAGAGCAAAACTCAGACACCCAGGGATGGCGGTGAGCCCCAAGCAGTGCTGACAGCGTCCACTACAAATACGAGACTCAGTGTGGCCCCAACTGGCCTCCATCCAATCCTTGGGGGCACAAGCCTGAAGGCACACTAACCCCCTGCCCCTCCCATTCCTCCTCCAGGGTCCTGGGCCCACTTCTCCCCATCCTTCCCCAGCCCACAGGCCACATCCACTTATGGTCTGCCCCCAGTCCTTCTCTGCACCCCATGAGCTTCTAGAATGTTCCCCCCATCATGCCTTTCTCCTCACTTCCCTCAGCACCTCCCCAATGTGCTCAGGCTCATTTCAGACCCTGTTCCAGCCCTGCCGGGCTCACCCATCCCCCTGCGCCGCTGGGTCCCCGAGGAGTGCGCCGCCATGCTCAGGGGACCGCCCTGCCTCTGCAGCTGGGAGCCATGCCTGTGTCTCCCTGCCCTATCCTGTCAGGTCTGCTCCAGGTGGGAACTCGAAAAGTATGTATGGGACTCGGCACATGGCTAACGGAAACCCGAGGTCTGTGAAATAATGGCTGCAGGGGTCTGGAGAGTCCCCAGAGGTTATAAACCTAATAAACAGTTGCAGCCAGCATTTCCGCCCCTGACAAGGACAGAACTACCCCTCCCTTTTCTCTACAGGATGAAACTGATCCAGGGGTCCCAGAAATTTGTTGCTTAAAAAAATTTTTTTTATTGCAGCAGCTGCTCTGGCCCAGGAACTCACTCCCCCCTGAGAACTCCTCTATGAAACCCAAGGCTCTCATCTCCCTCAGTGTGGATGCTCTTTGGCCTCCACCCACCTGCTCAAAATAAATAACATTTTGCTGCACATGGGGCTCCGTGTCTCTCTAGTCTGTGGACCTAATGTGTGACGTTCATTCAGCGAGAATCACCTGGGCACCTACTAGCACACACTCAGTCCCCAAGCACACACCCTGTGCCCATGCACACACCCTGTCTCCATGTGCACGTGCTCCATCCTGCACACACGGGCCGTCCGTGTGCATGCACAGCCCACCCCAAGCACGCATGCTTCACACCAAGTCCTCCTAACCTCCCCTTCACCTTCCTGCCACCCCGCCCCACTCCCCTGACAAGCTTTGTTGGTGCCTGTGATCGTTCAGGGCCCGTGGAATGCCTGCCTCAGAGCAGACTTCTCGAAAATCCAGGTGTGATCTAGAGTAGCAGTGGGGACATGGGCAGCCCTGAAGCCAGGCAAGGCAGGAGCTTCAAAGAGAAGGAGGGTTCCAGGCTGTAGGAAACGGTCAGATGGGGCCTGAGGAGAGGGTGTGAGTGCAGACAGGAAGGCCACAGAGGGACAGCACCCACACACACACTGGGAGGCTGCACACTGCGGGGCCACAGAGCACGGCTGCGTCTGGCATTGTCTCTGCACCACGCCCTGGGCCTGCCTCGGTCTTGGGGCTGGCATTTCTCTCTGGGCTCTGCCCAAGGCCCTCCCCGCTGTGGCTCCTTCTAAGGGGACCCGTCTCAGGTCACCTCCACAGCTAGACTTTGGCCAGACCCTCCTGGAGGAGACCCAGTCCCCAGACTCACCATCCCTAGTCACACCTAACTAATGAGGAATTAGCAAGGCTCGTACTTTGGAACAAGGAGTGCTTTATTTCTCATAAGGGCAGCGGCCGCTGGGCGGCTGCTCCAGCATATTGGGAAGCAGGCCCGGCCAGAAGCCAGACACACACGCTTCAAAGAAGAGATAAAAGACAACAGGGTGGCCACATACACATATTCAACAAGCTATAGCAATTATGAATATTCACGAAGGGAAATCATTTGTATGTGATTGGGCTTCTCTCAGGAGTCCAGGAGCCTCAGGGGTTCTGGGAGCCCCATCAGAGCCTTCCTGGGATGGAGGGGTGGTCCCCCAGGCAGGCCGTGTTTGCTGAAGGGTGGGTATGAGCTCCAGGGCTAGGGGGTGGCTAGCGAGGGTGGTGCTGGGGGAGCATCTTAGGCAGAGGCCCCAGGTGGGCCAACCTGGAGTGGCATAATTGAACCCATGCCCAGTGAGATTCCTCTGCCCCTTGGTGGCCGGTGACTCATGGGCCCCAGCGGAGAGCGGGAGGTGACCCTGCTTCTCACAAGAAGTGTGATTCTGGCAAATTATCTAACCGCCAGATCCTCTGGGTGTTACTCTAGTACTTGGAACCCATGCCTCCTCTTTCCTAGTGATCAAGGGGTCTAGACATGGCAAAACCCCAATGAATGGAGGCTGTTAAAATTCTCTGAAATTCTCCTGGGCTTGGGGACAGTGTGGGGTACGTGAAAGAGAAGTCATGTTTCTATAAAAGGCCTCCTTCTATGACACATGCAGAATTTGGGAAGCCAAAAAATGGAAAGCAGGGTTGTGAAGTGCAAGAAATGAGAGATTCAAGTAGATCTTTCACAAAACATCAGGGAAGGAGACACAGCATCATATTCATATTTAAAAGATTTTTTGGGCTTTTTTTCCATAGAAAATTTGGAATAAGACTGCATAGATTTGATCCCTTGGTGACAGCTGAGGTCATGGCTGTTGGGACTGGGACTCGCCCCTGCCCTCCATCCATAGGACACCAGGCTGGCTGTCCCAGCAGGGGCGGTCTAAACAGGTCTCACACAAGGAGCAGGCTCCTCAGGGGACAAACTCTTTGTCTGATCAGCAACAAATTCCAACTCCTTTGACCATAAACCAAGACTCAATATATATGTCTAATTTGGCAGACAAAGGCTTGTTAATTGTGGGTGTTTGGTGCCTTAGAGGTCAGGCTATAGGGGTGGGAGGGACATAGGCATTCTGCGGAGACACTGAGCAGGGGGAGGGGATAGCTGCAGCATCCTGGAGGAAGGCCTGGAGCAGCTGGCTGGGAGCTGTTGGCACCTGGACATGCAAGGTGCTTGCGTCATGGGCAGGCAATCCCAGCTGTGTGGAAGGCAGACCTTCGAGACGCAGGGTGCCTGTGTCATCGGAAGGCAATCCTGGTTGTATCGAAGGCAGAACTTGGGGCCGCAGGGTGCACATGGGGGCTGCATCAGGGGTAAGTTGAGGCACCTCCCCTGTAGGGAATAGAGGAGAGACAAGGTCACCGAGACGGCATTGGAATTGGGCCTGGAAGGCCACGGTTGCCTGGCTCCAGGGGGTCGGGACCAGTCAGGGCCGATGAGGGGCCTTGCTGGTTCTCCTGCTCTCCCCTGGGTGCTGGCCTCCAGCCTCACTCCTCCTTCCAGGCTCAAGTGAGGCACTGCATGTCCACCCTGCCTTCCCCAGCCTGCCCTAGGCACGGTGATTCTGGTCGCCTGTGCTTGGGGTTCACCTTGTCTGTGTGTCCCTGGGCTGGCAGCCTGGGGAGCAGGCAGCAGGAGGCCCTGCTCCCTGTGGCCCAGCGCTGCCCAGAGGCTCTGGCGAGCGTGTGTGGCAGGGAGCCTCACCGCGCCCTCAGGCCTAGCTGCAGGGCCCTGGGCAGGGGGAGTGCGGCAGCAGCTTTAGGAAGAGACTGGTCCAGACTCGGCAAACTCTCTCAGCAGGTCCAACCTCCCCTGACTTTGCTGTCACAACCCCACCCCCACCCCAGCCCCATGCCCTCATTCAAGCTCAGCTGAGGACCCCCAGCCTTCACTCAGAGTGCTCAGATGTGCCAGGGAGAGTGGCTGGTGCACAAGGGCCAGCTGGCATGGACTCGGGCCCTCCTACTCCAGGAGATCCTGAAGGCATTAAGAAGGGGGCCCACACTCCATGAGGCAAGACACTGCAGTTCCTAGAGGACCACAGGACTGCCTAAAACCCAGGGACACCAAGGGCCCCCTGGGCAGCCAGGCTTTTAGGAGCAGGGGCAGAACAAAGGCCCCTCCCCAGGTTGCCTGTGACCCCTGACCCCACATGCACACTCCCGCTTCAAGCCCTCCTGCCCTCTGTGCCTGGGCGGTGATGTGCCCTTGCTCTGTGCAAGGGCAGAATACGACAGTCCCTGCTCAAAGCAGTTTCTACTTCTGTGTCTTGCTATGGCTGGCCGAATAAGGGCCCTGAAAGATACCTGGGCCCTGAAAGATACCTGGGCCCTAATCCTTGGAACCCTGGCTAGGGCACCTTATGTGGCAAGAAACTTTGCTGCTGTGATCAAGTGAAGAGTCTCGAAGTGGGGTGATCAGGCTGGATTATCTGTGTGGGCCCGTTGCAATACCAAGGGTCAACAGAAGAGGGAGGCAGAGGGGCATTTGTCCACAGAAGAGGAGCTCCCAGGTGTGGAAGAGCAGAGAGACATGTGAAGACGCTGTGCTGCTGCCTCTGTGGCTGGAGGGAGGCCGGGAGCCAGGCAGTGTTGGGAGGCAGCGCTCAGTGCTGGAAAGGGCAAGGAGTGGATTCCCCCAAAGCCTCGGGAGGGAATGTGGCCTTGGTGACACCCTGATTTGAGCTCTGTGAATCCCATTTTAGACTTCTGGCCTCCATAGCTGAGAGAGCATACATTTGCATGGGTTTAAGCCACTAAGAGTGTCGAACTGTCACATCAGCAGCGGGAAACTGACACACTTCCCCAGGAAGACAACCTGCAGTAAAAGCCCTGCTCTCCACCAGACTGAAGGCAAGACCAGGAGAGGGCTAAGCAAATGTTCACTAAAGACAGAGTATGGTCTCCTGACTTGCCCCACGCAGTCCCCTGCCTCACTGTGCAGTCCTGGGCCTGTAAGGGTCAACCAGGAGGGAGGGGTCAGACTCAGAAGCCTGGAGAGTGGAGGGTGGGTCTCAGCCCAGCCCTCTATTGACTGAGGGGTTTGGAGCAGGTTCCAAATCTCAATGATTTCCTCTTCACAACACAGGTAATCACCTCCAGCCCCAGGGGCACAGTGTAGGGTAGCTTAAGGCATCAACTCTTGCACAGTGAAGTGCAAGAGTTAATGACAACACTCTATGAGGGGAGAAGGAAGCCATTGTTATGACCTCCAGGCCCTTCTCAGCCCTGTCTACAGGGCCATTTGTCCTCGCTGATGTCATCTGGCTCTGATATCTGCAGTCTTGGTTCTACCGTCCACCACTGTGGTCTCTTTCAGTCCTCCTGGGAATCTCTGTGCCATTAACCTGCCAGTGGCTATGATCCGCTGTTAGGGCAGCCTACACAGGAGAACAAAGAGGCCCCATGACAGGTACAAAGAATGAGTGCATGCATGTTGTCTGTGGCATAATCTCAGGGGCTGAGGCAGGTGTTAACAGCTGGACTTAAAATGGAATCATGCTCTTTGGTTGCTATAGCCTTGTGGTACAATTTGAAGTCAGGTAATGTGATGCTTCCAGATTTGTTCTTTTTACTTAAGAATGGGCTATTCAGGTTGTTTTTTGATTCCAAATGATGCTTAGGATTATTTGTTTCTACTTTGAAATATGATGCTGGTTTTTTGATGGAGATTGCATTGAATGAGTAAATCACTTTGGGCAGTGTGGACATTTTAATAATGTTGATTCTACTAATCTATAGGCTTGAAATGTTTTTCCGTTTGTTCGTGTCATCTGCGATTTCTTTCATCAGCGTTTTGTGGTTCTCCTTTTAGAGGTCTTTAATCTCCTTTGTTGAATATTTTCCTAGGTATTTTATTTTCTTTGTAGCTATTGTGAATAGTATTGAGTCCTTCATTTGACTGTCCACTTGAATCTTATTAGTACATAGAAATGCTGATTGGCGTACATTAATTTTGTAACCTGAGACTTTGCTGAATTCATTTATCAATTCTAGGAGTCTTTTGGTGGAGTCTTAGGGTTTTCTAGATACAAGATAATATCATCAGCAAACAGGGATAGTTTGACCTCCTCTTTCCTGATTTGGATGCCCTTTATTTCCTTCACTTGGCTGATTGCTCTGGGCAGGACTTCCAATATTATGTTGACTAGAAGTGGTGACAGTGGTCATTTTTGTCTTATTCCAGTTCTTAGTGAGAATGCTTTCAACTTTTCCCCATTCAGTATGACATTGGCTGTGAGTTTATCATCTATGGCTTTTATAATTTTGAGGTATGTTCCTTCTAGGCCTAGTTTGTTGAAGGTTTCTATCATGAAAGTGTGCTGGATTTTATTGAATACTTTTCTGCATATGTTGAGATGATCATGTGGTTTTTGTTTCTGTTTCTCTTTATGTGGTGAATCATGTTTATTGATTTCCATATGTTGAACCATCTTGGTATCCCTAGGGTTAAACCCACATGATCATAGTGAATTATCTTTTTGATGTGCTGTTGAATTTCATTTGCTATAAAAGTATTTTGTTGAGGACTTTTGCAACTATGTTCATAAGGAATATTGGTTTGTGGTTTTCTGTTTTTGTTGTATCCTTTTCTGGCTTTGGTATCAGGGTACTACTGGCTTCAAATAGAGACATAGACCAATTGAACAGAACAGAGAACCCAGAAATAAAACCATCTACCTACAACCAACTGACCTTTGACAAAGCAGACAACAATATAACACTGGGTAAAGGAAGCCCTATTCAATAAATGGTGCTGAGAAAACTGGATAGCCACGTATAGAAGAATGAAACAATAATCCTGTCTCTAACCATATACAAAAATTAACTCAAGACAAATTAAAGACTTAAATGGAAGACATGAAGTCATAAAAATTTTAGAAGAAAATGTAGGAAAAATTATTTTAGACAAAGAAATTTTGACTAAGAATCCCAAAACAAATATAGTAACAACAAAAATAAATAAATTACACTTAATTAAATTAAAAAGCTTTTGCAAAGCAAAAGAAATAATCAACAGAATGAACAGACCACCTACAGAATGGGAGAAAATATTCACAAACTACCCATTCAACAAAGGACTGATATCCAGAATATACAATGAACTCAAACAAACAAGGAAGAAAAAAATAGCCCCATCAAAAAGTGGGAAAAAACATGACCAGAACTTTCTTGAAAGAAGATAGACAAATGGCCAAGAAACATAAGAAAAAATGCTCAACATCTGGGAAATGCAAATTAAAGCTACAATGAAATAAGATCTTACCCCTATCAGAATGGCCATTATTAAAAAGACAAAAACAATAGATGTCGGTGTGGATGCAGATAGAAAAAAAAAATGCTTACAGACTGTTGGTGGGACTATAAGTCAGTACAATCTCTATAGAAAACAGGAGGTGGAGAAAACAGGAGTATGGAGGTTTCTCAAAGAAATAAATGTAGACCAACTATTCGATCCAGAATTCCACCGTTGGGTATCTACCCAAATCAAATGATGTCATTTTATCAAAAAGACATCTGCACTAAAATGTTTATCACAGCACAATTCACAATTGCAAAGATGTGGAATCTATCTAAATGCCCTTCAAGTTATGAGCGGATAAAGAAAATGTGATACACACACACACACACACACACGCACGCACGCACGCACGCACGCACGTCCATGGAGTCCTACTCAGCCATAAAAAAGAATGAAATAATATCATTTGCAGCAATGTGGAGGGAACTGGAGACCATTTTTTAAATAAAATATGAATCATTAACATTCAAACTATTTTTTTAAATTTCTGAATATTATAGGGATACAAATATTTTGGTTACATGAATTGCTTTTGTGCAGTTTGAGTCAAAGTTGTAAGTGTGCTCATCCTCAAGATAATGTGCATTGTACCCATTAGGTGTGAATTTACCCATCCCCTTCTTCCCCCTCCCACTTGCTTGTTTTCTGCTGAGTTTTATTACCATATATGCACATGAGTGTTGGTTGATTAGTTCCAGTTAAATAGTGAATACATGTGGTATTTGTTTTTCTATTCTTGCGATACTTTGCTTAGAAGAGTGGTCTCCAGTTCCGTCCAGGTTGTAACAAAAGGTATTAGTTCACCATTTTTTTAAATGGCTGAATAGTACTCCATACTATACATATACCACATTTTATTAATCCACTCACTTACTGATCGGCACTTGGGTGGATTCCAACTCTTTGAAATTATGAATGGTGCTGCAATAAACATTTGAGTGGATATGTCTTTTTGAGAAGACTTTTTTCCTTTGGGTAAATACCCAATTGTGAGACTGTTGGATCAAATGGTAGGTCTACTTTTAGTTCTT